CAGTATATATATATATATATATATATATATATATATGTATATACATATACATTTTTTTTTTTTTTTCACCAAAAACATTCAACATTTATTTATTTATTTTTACTTTTTTTTTTGTTGTTGTTGTTGATCAGGAGGCGAGAGGACAGCATGCAGGCGCACCGGGGCAGCTTCCTGGCCACGCCCACAGCCGAGCTGTCCACTCAGGAGGAGTTGCTGCTGGGAGACATCCTGGACTGGAGCCTGGACACTTCCTGCTCCGGCTACGAGGGCGACCGGGAGAGTGAGGGCGAGAAGGACAGGGAAAGTGAGTGGGGGGGGGGGGCTCATATATCAGCTACATCATATTCTGATTCATCTTACACAAAAACAATAAGGCAAAGTTGTAATTGAAGCATGAGTCACATTAGTGTCACGACATCTTGAGTTCATCAATTTGAGATTCATGATGCATGGATTTTGAGTAACCACTTCAGTTTTAGTTATTTTTATAGAATAAATATATAGAAAATACATTTATATCAGTTTAAAGGACTAGTTAACTTAGGAATTACCCTCAAGTCGTTCTAATTCTATATTTCCTTTACTCCGTGAAACACGTTTCCCCCCCCCCACAAAAATAGTGTTGTTACAAATTTCAAATTAACAAAAATAATTTTAAAAATAATTTCATTGTTAGAAATATTAACAATAATTTTAATTATTGAAGTTCTTAAATAATTCATTGTTAACTTAATATTTTTTATTAAAGCAGTTGTATTCATTATAAAAAACAAACCTTTTAAGTAATATTGTCATCGTTAAATTACAAAACAAATTACTTTTTAATTCAATTAAAATGACGAAATTCATTATTTAATTTAATAGTATCATTCTTAATATTTTATTGTCAAATATTTTTAAAAATGAAAATGGATTATTTCACTATTTAATTTAAATTAATTAATCAAAATGTAATTATTTCATTAAATTATTTATAAAATTTATTACGAATTAATATTATTATTTGTTAATATGTTGTAATTTTTAAAATATAATTTAAAATGAAATAATTCAAATTTTTACTTATAAATACGTTTTTTAGTATAAAAACTGTAGCACACAGCTTGTATGGGTGACTTTTATGCTGTTTCATAAGTGTCTGGTTGTATTGAAAATAGAAGCTCAGGCTTTCTGCCTAAAATCTCATTTTGTGCATCATGGGCGAAAGAAGTTACTATGATGTGAGCAACATTAAATAATGTATATTTTCATGGCTACTTCTTTCGTGATGTTTGAATTGTCCAAACACATCTTCAATCCCACTCATTTAAAGGCCGTTTGATGAGTAACCAAATCTCTTTCTGCCTCAGTATCGGCTATGGAGGTGCAGATGGAGCCTGCGGTCGAGTGCGCTGACAGACAGACACATTGTTGCGCGCTCTCCAGCGATGACGACAGCCTTTGTGAAGAGCACACTGAGGAGGAGGCGACGGGACCCTGGAAACACCACCTATCCTCCTCCTCCTCCTCGAGCACCTTTTGCACAGACCGCCGCAGCTCGGGCTACTCGTCCATCCAAAGCGTTCCCAGTCCGTCTGTCTCTTCCTCTCTGGTCTCTCCCCAAAATCCCGCCGGTTTCCTTCTCCTGCTGCCACCCGCGCAAAGGACTCGCCGACAGGTGAAGAGGAAAAACACGGCGGCGCACAGCGGAGGAGAGGCGGAGCGCGACGAGGACGCTGCCAACGTGGCCTTTCTTAGCCTTTGATTGATGTACAGGAAGCTGTCATCCCTTAACGCATCACTTCCTGGCTGCCCGCCAGGAGCACTTTGGTTCACGGGTGCTAATGGTCTTTATCTCAGAGCAGCGAGAGTGAGATAAAGCAGCTGAAATGTCCATTTCTGAGCTTTAAATGCGATTAGAAGAACAAAGGTCATGTTTTTTCTTCCCATAATGCATTTCACTTCGGCTCCCGATGGCGGGAGTGCCTTCGCCCGACTGTTTCTGTTGACAAGCAACGGGATAATGCCTAAAATGTGTTCAAATCACTGGAACTGTCGCTGTTTTTGAAGTCTTGTGTACGTTGTGTTACGTCTTCGTATTTAAAATTCCGGACTGTTTACAGAAAAGGACTTATAGTTTATCAAATATGTTTTTTACGAAGTTACATGCAGCTATGGAGAAAACCCACTTAGTCCATGAAGTTTCATGCTGATAAATGCACTGTCCGAACAAAACTGGTTTGTTTACGCAGATGTTTCTCGTCACGTATTTTGATTATTTATCTGGAACTGGACCGATCGACTCCAGTGTTTTTGTATTTGCGCATTGCTTTGCGTTCGCCACAAATCTTCTGCCAAAGTTCTCGCATTAACAATTTTCATACTGTTTTTCTGCTTGATACCACTGATGTTTTGACCTGTGAAACCGATGGAAGCTTGTTTCCGACACTGAATTAAAAAACTGCTACGTCGCAGTTCTGACTTTTTTTTTTTTTTTTTCAGAATTGCATGATATAAACATTGCGACAAACTCGCAATTGTAAGAAAATTTCAGAAATTTGAGCGAAACATTTTTTCCTCTGAATTGCGAGTTTATATTAAGACGTGATGCATGATGTAAACTCGCAATTGTGAGGAAAAAAATTCAGAATTGTGAGAAAGAACTCCGAAAAAGAGTTTATATCTCGTAATTCTGATTTTATAACTGACAATTGCGTATTTAATATAACTGACAATTGTAAACTCATGATTGCACAAAAAGTCAGAATTGCTAGATATAGACTTGCAATTGTAAGAAAAAATGTTTGAATTGAGATATAAATTCACATTTGCGAGGAAAAAAAAGTCATAATTCCGAGTTTTATATCTCGCAATTCTGACTTTGTAACTCGCTATTGCGTATTTACTGTATATATCACATTTCTGAGAAAAAAGTCAGAATAGTGGGATAAAAAGTTGCAATTGCTTTTTTTTTTTTTTATCCCGTGGCAGAAATGAATGAGCTTCCATAGAAACCTGGAAATGTACAGTAAATCCTGTATGAATTTTTCACATATTTTTACGACAGATCCAATGCAACAACCGCTGAATGTGATCGTTTGACATGCTTTTTCGTAATGACCTCGAGAGATCCCGAGCACTTTTTATGACCCAATGCTGGAAAGCAAAATGATGCTTCTTAACAAGTCTCAATGTTTTATCTTTATACGTGCTTGAACAATCAACCATACGCATATATTTGTGAGTGTTCGAACGAGTTCATCTGTTTGAGGTTACGACACTAAAAGCATTAAGTTATTATTTTTGTGCAGGTCTTGTTGGTACTGTATGTCGAACATCACTAAGGATTGCAACTGTAAATAATTCATTCTTGTTTATAAGTGTAAATATATAAATGTATGAAGCTGTGAAAGGCCATGTGAACTTGAAAACAGACGTGTGTTTGTTATATCCTGAAAACCACAATAAAACAATGCAGTAGTTACATTTGCACGTCCGCAGCCTTTCTTTTGCATACAGATGGGAACTTGTGGTTTGCAAGCATTTCATGTCTCTCGCTGCATATTTTACACCTTTTTGATTTACTTTCGTTAAATATCACGCTTTATCGCTGTGGTTTGATGACCTCATGAGCATGTTGTTGGTCAAACAGTTGTTAAACGGTGGTTTCATTTGAAAGATTAATGGTGTTAGTCAACAATTACTAATTATTATTATTATTATTATTTATAGTTGTGGGTCACATTAAGCCAAAAATATAGTTTTTGTGTCTATTGCACATGAATACTTGCATAAATAATGTGATACAAATTTTTCATGGTTAAGAATTGTAAACTAGCAAAGACGTGATTACTTGATTCATGTTTTAAAACAGTAAAAAATACCCTGGCACCCATGTTCTGGTCCTGCCCAGGTTTACATGGTTACTAGGTTCAGATATTCGAGACAATATCTCAAATAGTTGGGACAACATTTAAACCTGTAGCGATAACAGCGCTCTTCGGTACACTTCCCTTACCAGTTCATCACTTCGGTTACCAGGCAGACTTTGTGGCCTTTGTTTCCCTCCTGGCTAGACGTTTAATTCTAATGCACTGGGAATCATCCACGTCACCTACCCACTCAATGTGGATTAATGAGATTTTTCTCTTTAGCAAACTGGAAAAAAGTAGACATTCACTGAGGGGATCTTCCAACAACTTCTATAAAATTTGGGGCTCTTTTCTTGAGAATATGGAACCCCCCCCCCATTTTTACTGTATTATTAGTAAAAAATATAATATGCAAATGTGTTATTCAAATCCTTACTGATAAGATGGGTATATTTTTGCATGGTTTTAAAAATTATATATTTATTAGATATATTTATCATTGTTATTATCTGTTACTGTTTGTATATTGTTTTTGAGCATTAATAAACAAATTAATAGAAAAATTACAAACGTTATTTTATATACATGTATATCTATATCTATATATATCATTTATTTTAATAGTTATTTTCCATTTTTTTTTAAACCCCTGGATGCATTGTTGTAATTTTGTGAAGCATTATATATATATATATTACATTTACATTTAGTCATTTAGCAGACGCTTTTATCCAAAGCGACTTACAAAAATGAGGACAATGGAAGCAATCAAAATCAACAAAAGAGCAATGATACAAGTGCTGTAACAAGTCTCAGTTAGCTTAACGCAGTACACTTAGCAAGGTTTTTTTTATTTTATTATATAATAAATAAAAAGAAAACAGAAAAAGAATAGAGCAAGCTAGTGTTAGAGGCCTTTCCCTTTCAGTCGGTCACGTTCGGCGTACACACATATACATA